TAACCATCCATTTTCTTATTGGAATTTTGTTCTTTTTCTTATTGATTTGAAGGGATTTTGTATATATTAAGCAAATTAGTCCTGTTGTGTATGATATGAGTTGCAACTATTTCCCCCAGTTTGCCATTTGTCTTTGTTTATGGTGTTTTTGCTCTGCAGAAATTATAGATTTTTACATTGACAGAATTTGTCTTTTTTTTCATGCTTTGGGAAATTCTGAGCTATTCTGAAAAATACTTTCTCCACCATGACATTAAAAATTTATGGTTTTATTCTTTTACATTTATTTAAACCCAATTGATTCATATGGATTTATTTTGGCATAAGTACTAAAGTAGAGACACCATATTATTTTTTTTCAGGTGGCTACACAATTGTCTCAATACAACTTATTGTATAATCTATCTTTTCCCAACTGACAGACAATGCCATCTTTATGATATACTAACATTTTAAATGTCTTGGGTCTATTTCTGGACTCTCTAGTTTGTTCTCTTGATAAAATTGCCCAGGCATATGATAGTGTCCCTTGGATTTTACTATTTTAATTATTGTAGCTTTTAATGGTTTAATATCTGGTAGAACTATTCCCCTCCCATTAACCTTTTCCAGAATGTTCATGGCTATTCTTGATGCAAAAATTTGCATACGAACTTTATATTCAGGTTATGTAGTCTGTTGGTATTTTTATTAGATTGCATTAAATTTATAGATTAATTTATGGAGAGCTGACATCTTTATGATAGTGAGTCTTTCTACCTAAAAGTAGAGTATACTTTTCCATTTATTCAAGTCTCCTTTCGTGTCCTTTGATAGCACTTTAGTTTTAGGCACCTAAACGTAGCACATTCATTGTTAAGATTACTCTTGGTTAGTTTACTTTGTTGTTACTCTTGTAAATGGGACATTTTATTCTCCTATACTTTCTTTCTTTTTTTTTTTAAAGATTCTATTTTTTTCCTTTTTCTCCCCAAAGCCCCCAAGTACATAGTTGTATATTCTTCATTGTGGGTCCCTCTAGTTGTGGCATGTGGGACACTGCCTCAGCGTGGTTTGATGAGCAGTGCCATGTCTGTGCCCAGGATTCGAACCAACGAAACACTGGGCCGCCTGCAGCGGAACGCACAAACTTAACCACTCGGCCACTCATTGTTTTCTTTCCTAATTAAGTAGGCTAGAACTTCCAAAGCAATGTTAAATAAAAATAGTCACAGGGGCCATCCTGGTGGAATACCTAACTTTAATGGGAGTAATTTAGGTTTCTTCATCAAGTGTGATTCTGGCTTTTGGACTGAGATGTGTAAATTTTGTCATGTTAAAGAAGTTGGATGTTTCATAAAGTTTGTCTGTGATTCTCTCCTCTAGGTTTCAGTCTGTGTCTGAGACTCTTCCTTTGCAGATGGTTTCTCTTCCCTTAGAGAAAAAAAACTGTGCAGATATCAATTAGAGCATATGTTGACTTAAAAAGCATTGTGAATCCAAAGGTAACTCTGTACCGGTCAATAGCTTTATCAAACTTGCCTTCCTAAGAAGGTATAGTTGAGCCAACAGCAGACAGATCCTGTCCTCTGACTGGGTGGCCAGAAGGTAACAGCGTTAGGTGAGAGGGGCATTGGTCCTGCTCTAGTGGACAGGAGTGGGGAGGGGCTGTGCTATCAAAGTCTGGGTCCTGGACTCTGACTCAGACCCCTGGCAGGAGATACTGAGACCCAAGCCCTAAGAACAGTACCAACAGCTAACATTTTTTGGACACTTGTAATATACTACCTCTGTGTCTAGGTATTGAGTGATTTACTCCTCAGAACCATCCTATGATATGAATACTGTTACTTCCCCACAGAAGATGAAACTAAGGCAAAGAAATGTAACTTGCTTACAGTCACGAGCTGGTAGGTAATATTGCTGAGGTTTAAAATCAGGCAGTTTGACTCCACAGCCTGTCTTCTCAACCACCAGGCTCCAACTCCTCAGAAGGAGCCTGGGGCCCTAAGCAGCTGAGCAAATATCCAGGAGAGATTATGAACATGGCCTCCATTGTAAGCCACATCTATCCCAGGAAAGAGTGCTGGCCTAGGAAAGACTATTCTGGAGCCAGGGACCCCCAAGGCTGGATGATTAGTGCCATTGTCTGCTTTTTTACCCACACTCTTCTTTCTTTTTGTTCCTTTGCTGGCTCCTCCTCTACCTTACCTTAAAGGTTAGAGTGCCCCAGGCATTGGTTTTGACCTTCCTCATTCTCTACCTACACTCTCTCCCTAGGCATTAGCATCCAGATCTTCATGATAATGATTCTCTAATCACGACAGTGATCTCCAGGCCAGGCTTCTTCCCTGTGTCCCCCTCTCTACTTCTGTACAAAGTTTAGCTCCCATACAAACCTGCTCCTCCCACAGACTTCTACTTTTCAGTAAGTTTAACTCTTACTCAAAAAATATTAAGCACCTACTATAGCAGTGAACAAAACAAAAACCACTGCCTTCATAGAGCTTACATTCTAAGGTTAGGGGATATAAAATAAACAAAAAAATAAGCAAATTACATCATACTTTCGAAGTAAGGGCTACAGAGAAAAACAAAGCAGTGAAGGGGTAGACTGTGCAGGGGATGGGGACTGAAATTTTTAAAAGGGCAAGTGAGAGAAGCAGGAAATGAGGTCAGAGGGCTAACAGGAGCTAGACTATGAGCTTTTATTCCTAGGAAGATGGAGGCTTGTGAACCTATTATTCCATTTTCATTCCATTCCATTCTATAGGAATACCCTAGCTGCTGTGAAGAAACTGGAAGAGGGGCAGTAAAGATGAATGCTGAGAGCCCAGTTAGGAAGCTCTTGGAATAGTCCAGGTGAGAGATGATGGATCCAGGGGATCTGGATCTGGATCAGGAGACAGTGGAGGAGCTGGGCAGATAGGGCCAGATTCTGGATATATTTTAAAGGGGGCGGGGGGTGGAGGGGGGAGTCTAGCATCCACTGAGTTTCTTAGGCCAAAATTCTAGGCCTCGTCCGTGATTCTTCCCTTTCCCTTATATCCCATATCCAATCTATCAGCAAGTCTTTGTGGTTCTACCTCCAACATACACATCAAAGTCACCGTTTCTGTCCATCTCTACTGCCCCCACAACCCAGCTAAACCACCTGCGTTTACCTCTCGCCTGGATTGTTGCAACAGCTTCTTATCTGATCTCTCTGCTTCCTCTTTTGCCATCTACAATCCGTTCTCCACAAGCAGCCAGAGAGATCATTTTAAGAATTAAATCATATCACAAGAAGGATGCCTTTGCTTGTAATCCTTGAAGAGTTTTCCAACATATTAAGAATGAAAGCCAAAATCCATACCATGAACTGCAAGGGCTAATGTGATCTGCCCCTAAAGACCTCTCTATTCTCATCTCTTTTCCTCTTTTTCTTGATCACTCTGCTTCAGCCACGCTGGACTCCTTCCTGTTCCTCAAACTCACCAAACTCTTTTCTGCTTTGGAGCTATGCTGTTCTCTCTGACTAGGTCATCTTACCTCAGCTCTTTGCACGACTGATCCCTTATCAACTGTCAAATCTCAGCTCAACTGTCACCTCCTTAGTGACCTCCCTGATAACTTTCACCTAGTATAGCTACTATGCTATATCTAACATAGTCCACCGCACCTTGTATCAGAAAATTCGCAATCTTTCAGGGGAGATAAAATAGGTTAATACTCATCAAGCAAGATCACAGGACAGTAAATGAGGTGGGGACTCTTGAAGGAGAGGGCTATCATACACTGTCAGGGCCAGAAGGGCCAGCCTCCCATCTGATACTTGAATCCCCTGGCAATGTCCAGGTGATGGACATGTGTTTGACATCTCCATTGAAAGGACTGCCATAGCTGCTGGACAGCTTCCGAATTGGATCTTCCTTATTCTGAGCTGCAGTATGTTTCTCTGGAGCTGCTACACTTTTGTGCCCCTCCAAGAAAACATAAAACCAATATAAACCCTCTTTTAGATGACAGTCTTTCTGGTTTCCCTGGGCAGCTCTCATACCCCTAAACTCACAACTTTTCCTATAGGCTTGTTCTCCCATCCGAAGATGCCTCCAGGACACTCCCCTCTGAAGGTGCTTCCATTGGTCTTCTCCCTTACCTCCTGGTACCTACAATTGCTTCCAGCAATCCAGGTGGGGTTGGGCTGACGGGACCAACTGGGCACCGCCCCTTCTCCCAGGGCCTCTACCTTCTAGGAATGCGATCCACGACCCTCCATCGCTGCCTCATACATCATCCTCCCTGCCCCTTCTGTACGCCGCATCTCTCCGGCTAGGGCGAGCTCCTCAGCATCATTTCCCCGTCTCGTGCCTGGCACAGGACCTGACACAAAGTAGTTTCCCTAAAACCGCTGGTGGAATCAAACAAAGCATAACTTGTCCTGGGAAATATCAAAAGACTCCTTATACCTCGCGGGAATTAGGAAGCCGAAACCAAGTCTGCGGCCCGGCCTGCCCCTCCCAGCGTCGCCTCACCTCGCCTCGCTCCGTCTCGTCCCCCAGCCTCCCGCCCCAAGTCTCGCCTTTCCCTTTAATCGCTCCCTCCAACTGAGTAACCTCTCTGGGGCCTGTAAGCCCTGATGTTCCACTATATGTTGTCCCAATTAGGAAAGCCTTTAATTTTGGTTATTAGCAAAACGGCAACACCTTCTCTGCCATGGCCACGCCCCTTTGACTCAAGTTCTCCGGACGAACCGGAAGGGGTTGCGCAGCCCCTAGCTCCTAGACCCGGAAGTAGACATACCTCACGGAAGCCGGCTTTGGCCCTGCGGCTGCTGCCGTCGCCGCGGAGAAGTTGTTGGAGCTGGCAGCCTAGGAATGGTGAGACCTCGCGGTTCGCCTCTGAAGGTTCTGAGCAGAGTTGGGGGTGAAATGGAGTTTCCCAGAGTGCCGCCGGGGAGGAACCCCCCAAGGTTTGGGGCTCCGCCCCGGTAGCGCCCCGAAAACCTGCGCATGCGTGGACCGGACCGGGCCAGAATCTGGTCCGAGGTGTTACGCATGCGCAAAGGTGGCGTGCCGAAGGTGGGATGAGAATTGGCCTGGGGATTGGTCCCCCCTCGGGAGCCACCAGCCGGTGGGCATTAAGCCAAGGCTGCGAGAGCCTCGGGGTTCACTTGGCGCTTTGCTTTGAGATGCAGGGAGGACTTCATCGCCATTCCTGTCCCAAGCCCCTGAAACAGACCTGGACTAATCCCCCACCTTGGGTGTGCACTCGGGGGAGAAGGAGGGGCGGAGGGCCGGGGAAGGACGGGGGCGCAGACCCTATCTCAGTCGGCCCGAGGAAAGGGAGTCCCCGCCCTCTCCCCAGGTGTCTGGATACCCAGCCCTACGCTATGGAGCGGCGTGAGGAGCGCACCTGGGGGCAGGGCCGGAACGCTGCGCGGAGAGCTGCCCTGGGCCGAAGGGGCGGGACCCGACAGCGGCCGCCCCAGAGAGTCCCCAGTACCTGAGTTCTCTGGGGGTTAGGAGCAGGCCCCCCAGGGCGATTGGTATTCGCGCAGTTCCGAAACCACGTTTTTTAGCTTCCACGAGGTTCCACCCACTAAATCTTTGGCCAGAGCTGCAAGGGAAAAAAACAAATGAGATGGACTGGTTGGAGTTCTGTCTCCCTTTCCTCTCCCTGCTTTGGCCTGGGAGGGGGAGGGCGGTGCTGCTGAGCTGAGTGGGCAGCTAACGAAAAGAAAAAATGAGCTAAGAATCCCTTGCTTCTTGCTAGTTTATAGTCAAGGCTCTTAACCTAGTGGCAACTAGTAGAGTTAGAGTGGACCGTGAACCCCCTGAATTAGTTTGTTTGTACATTTTTCTGGAGTCCATAGTTTTTATCATATTCTCAAAGATGTCTGTGACCTCCAAAAGGCCACTGGTTTATCATGGTCATATTGGCAGAATAGAGCCTTGTGTCTCTTCTCTTCGTGTCTTCCCTAGCTTATGGCACCCTGGGGGATCTGTTCCAGTATAAGGAGGTGAGGCTGGCCAGTTGGGAACCTGAGCCTCAGAGAGCCTCATTTCTCCTTTGCAGAATCTCCTCTCAGCCTCTAAGCTCACCTGGTCAGAATCCTTGGATGAGCCTGTGGGACCCTTCCTCCTAGCCCTGTGGTTTGGAACCAGTGGCTTTGGGACTGTAAGAGGATGGAAAAAGGTAGTATGAGGCCGGGCCGGCTCCCCAAGCGCTCAGGCGCCAAGCATCTGCTGATTCCACCCGGTGCCTGGCACATAATGTCTTTCGGTCCTGGCTGGGCATTGCCACCTCCCCCTGGGCCAACACCACTCACGTACCTCTCGGCAGAGGCCACAATTGACTGACTTGCTGTTGAGCTGCCCCTCTTTGGCATGGCTGCATTTTGATGGCAGAGGGAACAGTTATGCCCAGAGCCCCGTGTGTCGGCATCACCAGTCTGACCTGAGCACCATGTGCTGCACGACATGACGCGTGGCACCGGGAGAACTGCCCAGCGTGGAAGGTCTGGGCCAGGTCTGAGCCCAGATGGGATCTGGATGGCCAAGGAACTCCCACCTTAAAACATCAAGTGTCAAGGAAGCAGGGGAGGGGCCAAGAAGGAAAGGGAAAGGGGGGCTGAGGAGGGGTCCCATGCACTGAGGCTCAAGGCTCTGCTAGGCACTTAGGAAGTCTGAGTTCACCACTTCTCTTTTTCTAGATTCTCAGGGGCTGCTAGATTCATCCCTGATGGCATCAGGCACTGCCAGCCGCTCAGAGGATGAGGAGTCACTGGCAGGGCAGAAGCGGGCCTCTTCCCAGGCCTTGGGCACCATCCCTAAACGGAGAAGCTCCTCCAGGTAGTAAGGTTTGGAGGGCCAGGGACTGGGCAGGGCCATCAGGTGCTGCATGCCTTCACCCCTGTTGGGAATGGCTGTCTGAGCCCCTCTGGGGCCTAAGGGTTGGCAGAGCCTTGTGCTTTTCCTGTCCCCGCCAGATCCCTGACTGAGGACAAGGGAGGGAGGTCTTAGGTCTTTGCTATGAAATCTTTGTGGTGCAATACCCTGTCATTTCAGTGGGGTGGAGCTTAGCAGTTCCATACCCCATCCACTGAGCCAGAGCAGTTAGCATCCTGCCAGGAACCTGCTCTGTTTTGGAGGTTGGGTGGGTACGAGTGGGTACTGGGGAGGGGGCAAGGAATGCTCACTGGGTAGGACTCTCTACAGGTTCATCAAGAGGAAGAAGTTTGATGATGAGCTGGTGGAGAGCAGCCTGGCTAAGTCCTCTACCCGGGCAAAGGGGGCCAGTGGGGTGGAGCCAGGGCGCTGTTCAGGGAGTGAACCATCTTCCAGTGAGAAGAAGAAGGTGAGGGATTGGGAGATGAGGGGGGTGGAAGGGATGGGGTCCAGTGCCAGATTTTGTGTTTCCCCACCACCTTTGCCAGCTGGCAAGAGCCTGCAGAGGAGGCTTGTGAGAGGACCAGGCTGCCCCAGTCCCATCCTCAGATGCCTCCCTCCTGGGAGCACATCTCTCCCTGCTCCCCCTTTCTTGCTGCACCCCCCGCCCTGTCAGTGCATCCTGTATCACATTCTGTGTGGGAGGCATGGAGCGTGCATCTATTCTGGGAGCAGACAGCCTGTTCCCAGCATTGCTGGGTGTAAAAATAACCCCCAGGTGGCATTGCTCTGGCCCCAGACACTGTACCAGCAAGAGTGTTTTCCTGGTGTTCTCCCCACCCACCCTCCACTCTGGGGTTGGGAGTGCCACCAGCAAAGAGAAGACCCCATATGGTTCAGGACTATGTAGAAGTACTTTGGCGGGGGCTGGAAGGGGGAGGGGCAGGTATTAGAAAGCTGGGCTCCCTGCCTGTGCCACTTATTGTTGGGTGGGACTCGGGCTGCCACACAGCATGTAAAGCTCTGGGCCCAAAGCCCCAGCTGCCCTGATGCCAGCTTTGAACTCACTCTGTGCATGTCTTCTGCTCAGGTGTCCAAGGCCCCCAGCACTCCTGTACCACCCAGCCCAGCCCCAGCTCCCGGACTCACCAAGCGTGTAAAGAAGAGCAAACAGCCACTTCAGGTGACCAAGGATTTGGGCCGCTGGAAGCCTGCAGATGACCTCCTACTCATCAATGCCGTGTTGCAGGTAGTGTTTTCCACCACGGGTTTTGTGGTCCCCTTCCTCCCCCAGCCTCTAGTTCCCAGCCCCCCAGCTAACCCAGCAGTGCCCTGTGGGTCGCAAGGGAAGGGCTCTTTCCAGCTCTAAGGCCGAAGCAAACGTCTCTGGGGCCTTGCAGACCAACGACCTGACATCCGTCCACCTGGGCGTGAAGTTCAGCTGCCGCTTCACCCTTCGGGAAGTCCAGGAGCGCTGGTACGCCCTGCTCTACGATCCTGTCATCTCCAAGTGAGTAGGGCTGGCTTCAGCAGCGGGGAAGTACTGGGGACACCAGAAATTCGCTCCTGGCAAAGAGAGAGTTGTACAAGGGCCAGAGGAGGGGCCTAGGAGGCAGGGCCCCTGGGGCCTTGCATCCTCTGGGATGAAACCAAGACCAGCCAGGCTTCAGAGGGAAGCTTCTTCCTGCTGCCAACCCTTCTAGCCCTGGCTTGATGCCAGAGGCAAGGGGCTCTGGAAGCCAAGGAAGTAGCATGGGGGGAAACTGATGAGATGAGTGCTGGAAGCCCTGTCTGCACCATCATGTGCGTTGTGGTTTTGGGCAGGTCACCTCCCAACCTTTCCATACTGACCTCCCGCAGTTTCTTCCTCCATAACAAGAAGGGGCTGGAATAGAACACCAAGGCCTCTCCCATCTCCAACAGCCTGAGTTCCAAATAAACCCGTGCACGCATGCGACACCCACACTTCCTCTTCAGTCATTCCATTTAACGTCGTCTGAATTGGTTGGAAGCTTAGCACCCAGCTATCCCACAGGCCCTAGCACTGCTTAATTTGTAGCCATGGCACTGATACAATAGGAAATGGGCAGGGCTCAGCTTGGGAAAGAGGAGGCGGTGGCCAGTGGCTAACAGGTGGCATCTTTTGCCAAGTCCGGGTGAAGGTCTTGGGGAGCGAGCAGCAGCTGGTCTTAGGATCTCCCTCGGGACCGGCCTCTAGCGGGCTATACCTTCGCGTCTGTTCACGGGGTTGAACACTGGAACTTCAGTGTCCTGAGTTGCTTATTCATACTTTTGTCAAACCCATGAGGCTACAAGTGCCATGCTAAGCCTTGGCTCTTCTTCTTGAGGGCCTGGCCTCTAGTTCTGCATCTCAGAGGCCCGCAGGCTTTGGGGAGGTAGGAATCCCAGATTCCCTGACACCCTCCCTTCAACCCTACCCTGACCTCTGTCTGCCCCTTGCCCAGGCTGGCCTGCCAGGCCATGAGACAGCTGCACCCAGAGGCCATTGCTGCCATCCAGAGCAAGGCCCTGTTTAGCAAGGCTGAGGAACAGCTGCTGAGCAAAGTGGGATCGGTAAGTCTGAGAGGTGGTCAGGTTGAGGGGCCGGACAGGGTGGGAGCTGGACCACCTGGAAAACACTGATGTGGGGAGACCCCAGTGCCTGGAAACGTGCCTGTGCAGATGCATGTACCTCTGCAGGGGCCTTTGTGGACAAGGTCCTCAGGAAGAGCCAAGCCTGGCTCCCCAGGCGGCCGTACCTATCAATTCTTCCTGCTCCCGGTGGGGACTTGGGCAGAGGTGAGGTGGTAAGACAGAGGCCAGAGTGAGAAAACCCAGACGCCTAGAGTATGCTTCTTGTCCTCCAGACCAGCCAGCCGACCCTGGAGACCTTCCAGGACCTGCTGCACAGACACCCCGATGCCTTCTACCTGGCCCGAACTGCCAAGGCTCTGCAGGCCCACTGGCAGCTCATGAAGCAGTATTACCTGCTGGAGGACCAGACAGGTAACTGGCCCCAGGAACTGGCAGAGTGGCTGTGCACATGTGAGCGTGAAGTAGTCGGGCTCAGCTGCCCGCAAGTGCCGTGTAACGAATGCCTCTGTGACCCCCAGTGTCTTGTTCCCCTCTTTGCAGCAACAACCTCTTCCTTCCAGAGGGAGGGAGAGTAGTGGAATGGTCTTCGGCACCGTGTTAAGGGAGCCAAAACAGCCTGGAATCCTGAACAAAAAGTTCAGGCAGAGTTGTCTACCACTTCTTGTTTTTTGTTTTTTGACATATTTTGTCATTACATAAATAATACATTGATATATTCTTCATGAATAACATTCAAACATGAGCAGAATATGAACGTCCCCTTCACTGCTCACTTGCCCTGTGTCCCACCCTGGAGATGATGACTTTTTCTAAACCTTTCTGCCCCTTTCCTCTCTCCACCTTCCTTCTCGCTGCCTCTGCTCCCACCAGGCAGTCAGTCCTGTCAGGCTGCCTTTGGGCCATTCAGACATCCCCCTTGGGGCTTCACACCCAGTCTGTCTGTCTTTCTCCATCCCCAAGGGCCAGGATGCTCTATGTTTCCTCTTGTCCCTCACCAACAAAACTCTCACTCCTCTGGTGAAAAATAGCAGGAAAGCAGTCTGATTCAACTAAAGGGAACTCTTCAGGGACATTTGGGATTCAAGTCAGACTTTCATATGCAAGCACACTCTACTCTTATTCCCAAATATTGTTGCCCTTTGCCTTGCACATGGTTGTTTGCACTGTTCTGAAAATGAAGCTCAGCCGTGCCCTTCACCTTACTACTTGGTTCTTGCAGCTTCTAGTTCTTGAAAGATCTTCCTACAAAAGGATTTTAGGAAATCTTGTCAGAGAGAGGCCCCATCTTTCCTTCCTAAGGGTCTCTGAATTTGGGGCCCAGTGGGCAGCCCTCTTTATTCCTGCAGCTTCCAAGTCTCTGCTTCTTCCTCAGGCTCAGATATCACTGAATGCCAGCCGCAGGAACAGACACTGGCTAAAGTTTACTTTTGCTGCTGTAGCTAGCCCCTTTGTCACTGTTTTGAAAGTCATTTTGTGTAAACTTGTTAACTTAAAGGTTTGATGTTTTGTTCCAGAGTCATCTTGTGTGGGAATTTGATTTCTCCTTTGCTGTTTAGAGCTAGGAGTCCCTAGGAACAGAGAGTGTACACTGCTTAGCTATCAAGTCGGTTGAATATTAGATCCATGGGATTCCAGGCAGCCATGGTGGGGGGAGGGGGCTTGGTAGGGCTCCATTTTTCATTTGGAAAAAATGAAACTAATTTCATGACCCATTAACATGACATGACCCGTAGTTTGAAAACACTGGCTTAAGCTGGGGCCGCTCTTCTCTGGCACATCCTTTCTGAGTGGGAACTGACCGGCAGGTGCTTCTCAGCCCCTTGCTGAGTGGCCGAAAATGTTCATGGCATGTGATGCGGTAGAAGGAGCATTTTGGGTTTGGAATCAGGAAAGCAGGGCTTGACTCCTGGCTCTGGCCTAAACTGGAGTCACGTGGTTGAACCCTCCCTCCTGTGTCTGTTCCCTCATCTCTAAAGTAGAGCTAACAGTAGTGCCTTCCCTGCTTGGTTCAAGGCTATGAAAGTTAGAGCCCTTTGCAGGCTGAAAAGCCCACACAAAAGGTCAACTTTAATTCCCTCTTTTTCTACAGCCATCTCTCCTCTTGGCTAACCCCTAGAATGCTTTGTGCCAAATTAGCATGTAGCCGCATCTGGCATACACTCCGTTACCTGTGTCAGGTTAGCTTTTGTTGATTTCAGCACGAAATTCTTCCCATGGGTTCAGTCTCTAGTTTGTCCCCTTACTTCGGTTGTCTGCCAGCAGCTTGGGGTTGAGCGGGAGCATCGGCACTGACCCTCTTTCTGTCCTTTGTTCAGTGCAGCCGCTGCCCAAGGGGGACCAAGTGCTGAACTTCTCTGACGCAGAGGACCTGATTGATGACAGTAAGCTCAAGTGAGTGGCAGGGACCACGGAAAGGAGCAGAAAGCTAAGTGTCTGCAGGGGGCAGAGCTCCTGGGGCTGCCCGGCCTTGCCTCTCCCGCTGCGGAGCATGCAGCCAAGCCTAGATTCAGCCTGTGCCCCAGTTGGAGCTGTTGGTGTCTGGTCTCCCTGCTGAGCACCTCCCCCGCCCTGCATTGTTCCTCACCCCTACCCCCACCCTAACCCCAGGGAAGGAGGCTAGGCCAAGGCCAGAGGAGCAGCCTGCTTGGCCACTTGGCTAACAGACTGAGGGATACCCTAGTGAGCCCAGTAGCACCTAATGGTGATGGTGGGTGAGTTGGAATGGTGAGGAGCCTGATTCATCTTCTCTTTTCACCTGCCAGGGACATGCGAGATGAAGTCCTGGAACATGGTGAGTGTGCCCTGGTGGGGACAGTGAGGGGATGGAAGCTCCTGCTAGAACAGAGAGAACCAGTGTAAGGTGCTGGTGACCTTGGAATGTCCCTCCTTACATCCCCCCTCACCCCAGAGCTGACAGTGGCTGACCGGCGCCAGAAACGAGAGATTCGGCAGCTGGAACAGGAATTGCATAAGTGGCAGGTGCTAGTAGACAGCATCACAGGTGAGCAGGCCAGGGGACCTGTCGTTGCCTGGCTGGGTGCTTCCTTTTCCGAGCCCCTGACTCCTTTCCCTCAGTAGACCTTGCCCTGGCTCCCTGCCTTCCGCCCTGTGACCCTAAGGGGTGGGCTCTTCCCCGACCTGAGCTGCTCCTCCCCCAGGCATGAGCTCTCCGGACTTCGACAACCAGACGCTGGCAGTGCTGCGGGGCCGCATGGTGCGGTACCTGATGCGCTCACGAGAGGTGAGGCAGGCCTGGCTGTCCCGTCCCCGCCCCCCGGTTCCTAGATTTCCCTCCTCCATCAGTCTTTCCCTCACTGCCCTTTCTGTGTCTGGTCCCTGACTTCTCATCTTTCCCTGGCCTGTGTGGACCTGTCCTCCAGTCCTCAGGTCCCAGCCCTTACTTGCCCCATTTCCCCAGATCACCCTGGGCAGAGCAACCAAGGACAACCAGATTGATGTGGATCTGTCTCTGGAGGGTCCAGCCTGGAAGATCTCCCGGAAGCAAGGTACCAGCAGAAAGCAGTGAGGATCTCCATCCCGGTCTCTCGCTTGGTCTTGTGGGAACCCTCGTGGGCCAGCTGGGGCTGAGGACCTGGCATTTCAAGATCTCTAACTTAGGAATCCTGGGTGCCTTCTAGCCTATCCCCAGGAAGGAGAGGCTACATGGAGGCTTCCCCCATCCTGTCATCCCCCTTTGCCTCTGCATTCCCATAGGTGTCATCAAGTTGAAAAACAACGGGGATTTCTTCATTGCCAATGAGGGCCGGCGGCCCATCTACATTGATGGACGACCTGTGCTATGTGGCTCCAAGTGGCGCCTCAGCAACAACTCTGTGGTGGAGGTGAGCTGGGAGGGAGGTGGAGAGGCCAAAATGAGATCTGGGGCCTAGTAAGCCAGTACGTGGGCCTGGCCCACAGTCCTGCCTCTGTCCTCAGCCACCCTTCTCTCCTGCCCACAGATTGCCAGCCTGAGATTTGTCTTCCTCATCAACCAGGACCTCATTGCCCTTATCCGGGCCGAGGCTGCCAAGATCACGCCACAGTGAGGAGTGGTGGCAGGACCATGGGCTCTCTCCAGCCTCAGTTTCCCCTGCCATTCCAGCCCTCTGGAGCTGGGAACTCAGGCTCCTGGAAAAACCAGAGTGGGCAGCAGGAGACCCAACTGCTGGCCCATTGATCTGAGCCTCTGCGGGAGGGTGGGGCTGGCCCTTGGGAAGTCCCTGAGGCTGGGACCCTCCGGCTTCCTTAGAGCCAGAGCCCCTCCCCCTCTCCTCTCTGCAGACCACCCTCCCCTCTTGCCCAGAGTCCCACCTTCACCCCATGTCTCCAGCTGATTAGCTTCAGATTTTCCCTTTATTATTTTTTTTTGTAAATAAAAAGCACTGAGTTCCAAAGTAGTTTCTTTTATTATTACTTTTTAATATAAAAAATGGAGGGACAGGTGAGACAGGGGCACATGCAGGGGATGGCAGAACCCTTCTCTAGACTCAGACCTGTCCCCCAGCCTGCAGAGGGAGATGAGGAGGTCAGAGGAGCAAGCTGAGGAGGGGCCCCAGGAGCAGGGGCCGAAGACTCCTAGCCCGGGGCCCGCCCCTGAGGCTCCAGCTCACCCTCTGTGAGTCGGGGGCCAGGCCCTCCTTGGCTCTTGGGCTCCCTGCCCTGAGCCAGCGGGCAGCACGAAGTCCCAGGGGGTGGCTGCTGCCCTTCCTCCACCCCACGGTTGGGCAGAGCCACAGATGGCAGCATGTCTGGCAACACTGAGTTCTGGGGCTGGCAGTCAGACCCCTGTGCCTTCTTCCTGGGTCCACTGGACTGTGCCAGAGCCATGGCAGCCAATAAGCACCATCTCCAGGCTATGGGGTTCCCAGGGCAGGGCCAGGCCCCCTGACCCTGGCGGGGGCTCACCAGTGCTAGCAGCCTCAGCCTGGTTCACGGGCTCCGGGGGCCCAGTCCTAGCCCCTTCTTCAGGAGGCGGCGACCCAGGGGTGCTGGGCTCAGGGCAGAGTTCTCCTGAGCCAGGGGGCTCTGAGTCTGAGGTGGAGGTCCAGAAAGCTGTGGCTCGAGGCCATGGGGAGCTCTGAGATGCTGGGGGACCCCAGGGCCAGGGTGCCATGAGGGGAGGGGGCCCTGGACGAGGGTGGGGCCAGGTCCCACTCAAGACAGAACCAGCTGGGGGCTGCAGGCAGTAGGAGGACGCCCCAGTGTCCACACACAGGGGCTGCAGAAGCCCAGAGGTGCTGGCTGGGCGTGGCCCCTCTCCGGACACCCGAGGGCACGGGCCCTCCCCATGGGGCGCCAGGACAAGCTGCACAGCCTGGCGAAGTGACTGCAGTCCCTCGCGCATCTGCAGCACCTGCTCAGAGAGCTCCATCACCTTCGGGGGCGGGAGGGGGGCAAGGTCAGCATGAAGTCAGGACCGCAGCAGCAGCAGTGCTCACCTCCTCCCCTCCCTGCCTCCACCTTGCCCTCACCCACCGCCTGCTGAAGCTTGTCCAGCGTGTCCATGTTTCTTGCCTCGCTGGGCCCGAGCGGGACAGTGAGCAGGCCGTTCTCTGTGGACAGTAGGATGGGGTTATCAGCGGGGGCTGGTAAGAGGAGACAGACAGTGCAGGGTCCAGGCCTCTGCCCCAGTTGGCACAGACCACATTGGCCTGGCAGGGCCTGACGCCAGGAACGGCCACTTCCAGCCTTGCCCGAGTCACTGAATTCTGCCCAAACTGCTGGGGGCCTCAGGCACACTGCCGTGCGCTCTCTCCCTGAAGAAGCTGCTCTTTGTGCCTGTCTCTTGTTCTGTCCCCCAGGGACATGGACACTCCTGGGAGCTCATTACTTGGCCCACTATCAGGACAGCCCGGCCTGGCCAGGGGCCGCTTACAACTCTGCTCCCCAGCCCTTTATCCCCTCCACGAGCCAGACATTGTGCTAAGGGTCTTAGTGATATTAATCTTATTTAACATGCACAACAACCGTTTTACAGACAGGAAGCTGGGGCAAGAACCAAGGTCACGTTGCTGAGAGCTGACAGCAGAAGTCCATTCCCGTTCACAGCTACCTTCCGACACCAAGGTGCTAGTCTTAACCACCAAACTCCTCCACCCAAACCATGCAGGTGAGTGAGGGGAGGCGACTTCCAGGCAAAGTCTGTACTCTGCCAGTTTCTCAGAGGTTCATGGGGCAGAGGGGCCGCCCCACCGACCCGGGTCCCAGTACCTGGTCCTGGGGAGGGGCTACTGCTACATTCTGGGCCAGACTGGACGCGGAAAGAGAACTTGGGCTGGTCAGACCCACAGCCGTCCTCAATGCCATCGACTACCCTGTGGACCCAGGCGCCAGGACAGCAAATCAGTCGACAGGCAGCCACCGCAGTGTTTCACGGGACAGGATGCCCCAGTGTCCACACACAGAGGCTGGAGGAGCCCAGAGCTGGGCCAGGGGGCTCGGGCCCCAAGAGAAAGGTAGGTGGTCCCTTCCCCTTGGAGCTTGCAGTTTCGCGGAGGAGCCAAGCTTGAGTACGTGGAACAGCAAGAGAGTTCTGAGCAGTGTATGGCCATGCACCTAATGGTGGGGTGGGGCAGCAGGGAGGTGGAGGAGTCAAGGAAGGCTTCCTGGAGAAGGTGGGCTTGGACCAGGCAGGCTGGGGGGATTAGGATGGAAGGACAGGCACCTAGGGCAGAGGTGAGCCTGGTGAGGACCCCCGCCCCCTCACCATCATCTCTGCCGTAGTGTAGTGGCCTACTCACCTGGGGCTCAGATCCGGGGGCACATTCCATGGCACAGGGGGCAGCCGCAGCCCCTCTAAGCTCCGAGGGTGAGCAGAGGGGCCAGCCTCAGCCTGTGAAGCCCCTGCCCTGCCTAGCCGCCCTCTGCCGCCCAGACGGGGCCGGGGCGCGGTTCGACGTGGGGATAGCAGCTTGGCGGCTGAGGATGAGGAGGTGCAGCCGGGGGACAGCAGGGGGCTGGAGGGCTCATCAGCTGGGGCTGGTGAGACTGTGGGGCCCTGCTCCCCGTCTGTCTCCTTCTCCTCCAGTGTGGACATGAGGGTGTTGTCGCCACTCAGGGAGCTGGTGTCTGCCTGGGGACAGTGGGGCACAAGGAACTAGCATGGATAGCCCCTCTCACCTCCTCCACCCAGGCCTCATCTTCCTGGGGGGAGGAGCCGTTTTTGTTAACAGGATACCCAGTATCTCTCACCCTGCGAGGAAGAGGCTCGTGGGGGAGGCTGCTTTTCTGCTGCCACCACGAAGCCACTAAGCCCCGGAGGTGCTCGTTCACTGCCCCTCAAAATTCTAGCCAAGTGTGGACACATCACTCATCTACTTGGTCCCTCGGCTAACTGAACTATCCAAGAGAACATTGTATTAAAAACTGGTTTGGAATTAGTGACATAAGCTGGGAAAATTCAAAAACCCCTCAGAGGGGGCCGAGTGGTTAAGTTCGTTCGCTCCGCTGCGGCAGCCCAGTGTTTCGCCAGTTCAAGTCCTGGGCGCAGACATGGTACCGCTCATCGGGCCATGCTGGGGCAGTGTCCCACATGCCACAGCTGGAAGGACCCACAGCTGAGAGTATACAACTATGTACCGGGGGACTTTGGGGAGAAAAAGGAAAAAATAAAATCTTTAAAAAACAAAACAAAACAAAACCCTCAGAGCAGTCCTGTTTTACCATGAAGCAGCAGGGGGCGCTGCAGGGCTCTCTTTAGAGGCAGCCTGGGGGGCTAGTGTGGGACACTGCCCAGCCCGACCCCGGGGTGTCAGCCCTCATCTGTGGCCTGCAGGCTCCTTATCTGGTACCAGTGGACTCGGCTTCCCACCCCTGACTTTGCTCTGCACGGGGCCAGGCTGTCTCAGATGGGCCAGGGTGAGCCGGGAGGGGTGGCTGAGCAGGCAGGGCTGGCCTCTAAAGCACTATGTGTGTGGGTGTGAAGGGGCAGGGACAGTGTAGACCTCCCACAACATGCGCAGGAGTGTTCACACCAGGCCATGTGCTCACACAACACCTCCACAAACCCTAGCCTCTGCCCACCAGGCTCCCCAGCCCACCAGTCCCTCCATGCATGCACCCAGCACCCTCACCTCCGCAGTGCCTCCACCAGCACCCAGGTTGTAGCTGAGCTCCCCCCGGAGTCCCCGGCTGAAGCGTGGGGCAAACTCAGGGTACAGCGCGAGGCTCTCATGCAGCCCGGCCAGCTGCAGACACTGCAGGACGCAGTACGTCAGCCCCTTGACATCGGCATTGGCCTTGACCACCTGCTCACGCCGGGGCAGCTCACAGCCGATCAGATCACCCTTCCCTGGGGAGAGGAAGCAGAGGTCAGCAAGCCTTGCCCCTCAGCCCTCAAGCAGGGAAGTAAGTGGAGGCTGCTGAGTGGGGCCTTTCCAGCCAGGCCCCCACTGTGGGCCTTGGGGCCAGAAGAGAGAGGAGCAGAGGGGCCCAGGCCCTGGCTGACCCTTGCTGCCTGCCTCACTGGCTCTTCAGACAGGCTTGGGGTAAGAACTCTGTGACTCGGGCGCTCAAACTCATTTGGGATCAAAACCACTGGGCTGAAACACATCCCAATTTTGGTGCTGAGACAACCAAGCAGCCACCAATTCTAACAGTTCCCACCTGCCTGTGGATCAGAATCCCCTGGGAAAGACTCCCAGGCCCCATCCCTACCTATAGAGTCCTAATATCCATGGGGGACCCCACAATCCGATGGTTTTCAAGCCCCACAGTGATTGAGGTGGAGCTTGTCCAGGCACCAGTGTGTGGAACCAGCAGGTTCGTGCCACAAGTGACACAGTGAAAATGTCAGGCAGCCACCTTACTTCATCTCCCGGAGCCCTGGTGCCTGGTCTGTACAATAGGTCCTGTAGTTAACTGAGATGGTGGTGCTTTCTTGATCTTACCAGCAGGTGTCAGTGGAGGGTTTCCCACCACTCAGCCGAGACTGCTGCCCCCTGGCTGACAGCAATTGTAAAATGGCATCAATCAGAGTCTGCATCCCTATGTTAGACAGGTTAAATTGTGGGGAAAAAATGTGTGTCTTCAAATCAATGCAATAGGGTGTCTCCCATCAGGGACATGGCGGGGATTAAGTGAGTTAGTGTAGATAACGTGCCTGACACACAGACAACCAATCCAAGTTCATTTCCTTCCCCTCCCTCCTGACAAGAGTCCCCGTAGGTCATTCCCAGCAGGGGTGGCATGCCGTTGGGGCTGGGGTCCCCAGCACTCACTGCCCCTCACAAGGCAGCTCAACCCACTGCCAGACAGTTCACAAGATTAGAAAGCGTCTCCTTCCCCTTCAGGAAAGAGACGGATGGCTGCCACCCTGCTGCCTCCCGCTGCCTCCAGAACTCACTGAGCTCGGAGCCCTCCTCTAAACGTTCGTGGACTTTTGCTTAAACTTCAGTGTACAACACATCGCTATTAAATCTTATTTTCTTGGTTTCAGGCCATCCTTCTGTTTCCTTCTGAGAACTGTTTGCATCTCAATGTGATCCTCTGATGAATGAGCTCTTTCCCCTCATGTGTGTCATCTGGAAATAGGATGCACATGTATTTCTTGTCTTCATCCAAGAGATGAGATAAAAATGAGAAACAGGACAGGACCAAGGACGAAGTTCCGTGCCATTGGTCTCAGGGACCAGAGACTGCCCTCCAGGCTGGCATCTCAGCCAGAGCCTTCAGCTCGGCTCATCAAGATCCTCCCGGCACCGGCCCAGCACACCTCTCTTCGCCTTGCCCTTCCTCCCTCACAACTGACTTTGCACACAATTGGCTGTTGCTTCATACACAGAGGCGGGCAGAATCGACAGTGCTGGATGTACGGTGAGCCTTAGCTGTCGGGAGTAGGCAGGAAGTACCTGGATGTTCAACCAAGGAGGCAGGTGGGGGACGGGATGACGGCAAAGCAGAAAACCGGGTCATGGGGAACCAGGCATTCCTGGGGGTGTCCACAGCCACCAAGTCCACAGAGGAAACAGTCCATCCAGAGCATATGGGCAGGGCCAGGCTAGATCGAAGGTGGCATAAGTCCCAGTGCTAGGAACATTCTAGAGGCAGAGGCCTGGGTGCAGGCAGTGGCCATTCTTGAGGCTCCATCTTAATACCGAACATGGCTATTCTGAGACCCAGTGTCCGGGATCAGGGAAGAGATGCTCTAGCAGGACTCATGCCAGCTCCCAGCCACCCTGCTTCCTCGGCTCCAAGCTGAAAACCATCTGTTTAATAATCCACTTGACAATCTTGCTTTGGAGTGGCCAGTCTACAGTTGTCAAAATCTGCCTTTTTGCCCTTCTGGATCTCTCCAGGTCTCCATAATTTCTCAAGGGTTGCTGGCCATACGTGAGTGGCGGTAACTCCGTTTGCTCAGAGGCCTGGCGTAAACTGCATCCAGGCTCAGAAGCTGAACTCAAGGAACGATGCAAAGCGAAGGACGAAACAGCCTCTGGCCTCTCTCAGCTCCGAAACCACTTGGTATTTTTTCCTCCTCTTTCCTGTTGGAAGGTCATCTTCTTCAAGGGAGAGAGAGTGGACACACAGTAGCTGCTGGGCATCTGGTCTTCCTGGTTCTCCAGGTTAGTGACAAACCTCAGCCCCTCCAGGCGTCAGCTGTCCCCACGGTGAGTCTACAAGTGCTTGGCTGCCTGAGGATTCGGCTGTGGTGGGGGTGCCACCTCCCTTTCATCCCGTGTTCCATCCCGGGTGTGAGGCCCTTGATTACGCAGGCAGATCAGTGTTCCTGCCCTGTGCGTCACTGATGGGAGCCTGCCACAGCCCTGGAGCGTGCAGCCCTGAGGCTCCTGGAATGCTCGAATGTGCCTTCCTGAAGCCTACGGTACGCGTCCAACCCCATGAAATGGTGCCCTTCCTGCAGGACATGAGTCTCCCCAGAGCAGCGCCCCAAGACTGGCCTGCCAATTCCTTACCCTCAGAGCCTCAGTCTCCTACACAAAACAGGAGTGACGAGAGTTCCTGCCCCCTGGGTCTGGGAGGTTTGCTGAGATGAAGCAGGTAAGCGGCTGGGCACAGGGCCAGGCGCTGTGAGACCCTGGGGTCAGCACTATGGTGACGTCAATCCCCCCATTGCATTTCTTTCTCCTTGTCTAGGGAATTGATCTCTCTTTTTCTGGCCAAGAAGGAAAGTACACATGCTGAGTTGGAACTCCACTGTCACCCTCACGCCCCTGGGCCTGCCCTGGGATCCGCCCTAGGATGGCAGCATCTCACTTCTCCAGGCCCAGCGGGAGCCCCACAGGATAGCTTGCGTCCCCCCTTTTCAGCCCAGCCTGCCTGAACACTCTCTCCAGCACTTCCATCCTCAGCATTTGATTTTCTTCCTTGACAGGAAGTGCTGCTCCCCGAGGGCCCCTCACAGACTAAAGGCTGGTCCCCAAACACTCGCCAGATCTTTTCCACCTCTTTGTGTTGTTACCTCGTGGTCACTGGGTCTGCTCTGAGCTTTGCCCAGGGCTCCATCCTGGCTGTTTCTCCCTGGGTGGCCTTGCCTGCATCCCCTCTCTGGTCTTTCTGCAGATGGGGCCACGGTTCCACCTGCCTCCCACAAGCCCCCACATTCTCCCACCCTCACATACCTAGGATGGCAAGCACTGTGCCGCCCTTGAGCACCTCCATGGAGCCGGAGCAGACGAAGTAGAGGGCCTGGAGGGCATCACCTTGGTGGATGAGGTACTCGCCGGGCGTGCAGAAGGCAGGCCGCAGGGCCAGGGACAGCGCCCGCAGGCAGCCGCGGCTCGCCGCCTCAAACAGGGGCAGCTGCAGGACCTCCTTGTGCAGGTGCATGGCAATGTCTGCGCGAAGCTCGTCTGGGAGGCTCTGCAGCAGCTGCAGGTGGGGACCAGGTGGCAACAGTCAGGGGTTGTGGGGGCAGAGCGGGAGGCAGCCTCCAGCCAACCCCTTTCCACCCTGGTGGGCCTCTGGAGCAAGGGGAGGCATGGGAGGGACTCCTGCATAGCATCAAGCTCCACACAGGGTCCCATCAGTGAGGGGCTATCTCTGCCTCCCTCTCCATCACTTTAGACGCCCCCGCCCCTGCCCCCCATAAACAGCCCAGCTTTCTTCCTCCTGCCTCAGGCTTGGACATCAGTGAGCAGAGCCTCTTGACCTAACAAGGGTAGCGAGGGGCCTCCCAGCTTCTCGGCCACCCTCTGTCCCAGGCTGCTGTCCCCCCAGGAGAAAGCAGAGGCAGCGGGGCCAGAATTCTGCATCCCTTGCCCCTCCCCCAGCCCACTCCTGGGAATTTTGCCCAAGCGCACACCCTCGAGGGAGCCGAGGCTGAGAGGGCCAGACCTGGAGCCCTGCGCACCTCAGTGGTGTCAATGCCGTTGTTCACGGCCCAGGTCGCCTGGAAGTACTCGAGCATGCGCTGCTTGAGGGGCTTGGGGATGCGGTGGATGCGAATGTAGTCGCGCAGGTCGCGGGTGCGGCTATGATACAGAAAGCGGCGGGCGTACATGCGCTGGATGATGGCCGTCACGTTCCCAAATACCACCGCGTGCATCAGTGCTGGGGAAGGTGGCGAGAGGGGGTCACCTCCAGGACCGGCCTGGCCGGGCCTGACACCATGCTGGACAGGTCTGCCTCCCCTCTCCACATACTCCTACGCAAGGCACAGGGGCCGCAGTGTGGCATGGAGTCCTGCAGCCGAGTGGGCTCTCCCAGCCCTGGCCTCGTATTCCTAGGGCCCTTTAAAGCAGAAGTGCCTCTGGGAAGGACCTAGGGCCCCTGGGTGAGGTGAGGCGGGTGCGGCCGCCTGGGGCCAGAAGTCTAGGAGTGGGCAGGGACCAGGAGAGTGGCAGGCCTCACCGCCGATGAGCATGGTGCAGATGGAGAAGATCTTCTCCGTGTCCGTGTTGGCGGACACGTTGCCGAAGCCCACGCTGGTGAGGCTGCTGAGTGCGAAGTAGAGGGAGGTGATGTAGGCGCTGCGCAGGGACGGGCCGCCCAGGAGCTCCAGTCCCGTCCTGTTGGCCTCGCTGCTGCCGCTGCTACAGTTGTCACTCTGGCCAGAGCTGTTCCCCACAGCTGGGCTCCGGCCCACCAGGTAGTATGGGGTCTCCAGTCGGCGGGCCAGCTCCTGCAGCCAGCCTGGGGAGGGGGTGGGATAGCACTGCTGCACTGCGGTGCAGGTATCCCCCGGGGCGGGGGGGGCGTACGGATGCAGATCCACCCCCCGTGGCTTCCTGCCACTTTCCTCCTCTGCCAGCCCGGCTCAGCCCTAACCACCTCCTCAACCCTCAGCAAGACAAGCACATGAGGACAAGGCTGTCATCCTCCCAGCGGGCTTCTATGGTGCTGAGGATGCAGCAAGGAGCTTTTGGGCCTCTTCCCTGTAGCTGGCGCTAATCCCAGCGGTGGGCAACAGGCCCAGCTGGAGGGGGCAGAGGGACTGGCGGGGCCCACTGCACCAGCCACAGACTCGCCCCCAGGGCCTGGTGCGTGGGGCCACCTCCTCTGCCCTGTCCTCTCAGACTCCTCTTGCTCTTCCTCTGAGCTCGCCTGCTCCAGGAAGCCACCCCCCATTCAGCCTCACCCCTCCCACAACCACACAAATCACCTACCCTCACGCACACTGACATGGACATGTGCAGTGGACACCATTGAGGCTACCCATGTGCTCCACACAGTTGAGAGAACAAGGACATGTGCACTTGGGCACGTTCACAGGTGCACGGCTACAGCCACTCACACAGAAAAGGCCTGTGGACACTGGGGACAGGGACAAGGGTACACAGGTACTCAGCCACTCGCACCCAGGTAGGGGACGGGACACACCTGCATGGACATGAGCTCACAGGTCAGGCCACAGGCAGGCAGGCACCTGTGCACACACAGAGGCTCCTGAGCACACGTAGACACAGGCCGAAGAGGGCCAATCTCCCTGTCAACCCCACTTTCTCTGGCCTGGCCTTGGCAGGAGGAGGGAGCCATGGCTTCCCGAAGTCACTCTGAACCTAGCTGGGAGTTTGTGGCAGTTCCAGGGTGTTGGATGGGGGCCATGGGGAGCAAGGCACAGAGGGCAGGCGGGCTGAGGTAGAGTGGAAATCAGAGGGTGGGCTGCAGTGGAACCCACTTCTCCACATGCACTCTGTGTCTCCCGCCTCAGCACCACACCCCCCCCACTCCACACTCTCCCCAACACCTCACACACACGACTCTCTGCGGTCCCGATTCCCCTCCCCTCACCCACCCACCGTTCACTCAGCAACCTCACGCACGTGTGCCAGGAGCTGGGGGGACCCACAGGAGCTTGCTGCAGGGTGGGCCACATGTCAGAGGTACACACAGCCCAAGTGCCACACGGCAGGGCTCCAACCAAGGTGCTTTGGGCTAGAAGGCCTCCAGGAAGAGGGGACCTTGGTGCTGGGTCTCAGAGGATGGGTGGAGTTTTGATACAAAGAAACTCAGAGGAGGTCCTTCCCCACCTAGGAGAAGGCGCGGGCCAGCGTAGAGATGGAGACAATGGGCAAGGAGCTCTGCTTACCCCGAGTGTGGGGTTCACACGGGGGCATCAAATCCCAGGCTGAAGAAGTCGGGGAGATGTGTTAAGGGCTGAGCCAAGGTAAGGATTCAGCCCTGTACTTGAGGCGTGTGGTGAGAATGCACGGGAACAGGCAACACTTGTCAGTCATTATTGAGTTGGGCCCCTGAGGTGACGCCAGTTGCCAGGTGAGGAGCATGGGGGGTCATAGGGGCCAGAAGCAGGGGGACAAAGGGAGGGTGGCAGAGGGGCCTCTCCTCTCTGTCTTGGCCGTGGGGACATTGGCAGCTCCTGGAGCTGGTGGTGGGATGGTGCCTCCATGTGGGGAGGGTCAGGCTGGCAGAGCCTGTTCTGGAGGCTGGTGGCTTTCATACTGAGAGATGCCCTCAGCATTTAGCACAGTCTTTTGAAAATCCAGCTCATCTCCACCGGCCTAGTGGGAATCTGGAGCAGGCACTCTGTCCACAGCACGGGCAGTGGAGCAGAGGAACCAAGGCAAGGAAGCCACAGGAAGGCGCCTCCCGCCGACAGAGTGGGGCCAGCAGGGGGCTGCCCTCCCCACAGAGACCTCCCTTCCAGGGCTGGACTTTGGGAGGTCTGGGTATGGCTCCAACGCAGCTGGGGGGGAGTTTCCCCAGAGAAAGAAGGGAGAGATGATGATGTGAAGGACTTGGAGATGCCCCAAATGTGAACTAGGACCAGCCTCAAATAGGAGGAAACCACTCTGGAACTTGGGGTTCAAGGGTGAAAGAATCACCACATGTATCTGTAAAACAGCCAGCCCCCCACATCCCCATGTGCTCCCTGGTGAGGCTCAGAGCCCCTCTGGGAGCAAAAGGTGTTCTGAACGTCAGCTCAGCAGCCCCCATGAGGTGGTGAGAACAGAGGAGCCACATGGACGCAACAACCAGGGTGTCTGGGTCCTGTTGTGGAGCAAGGGTCCTGACCAGAGGATTTAGGGTCAGGGCTTTATGTCACCATTATCTATCTCCGGCCCTCTGACCATGTTCGCTGGGTGACTGTCTGACCCCACAGCAGCTTCCACCACCTTCCCTCTGGGAAGGGCAGGTGCCAAGGAGCTGACACTGCCTGGAGCGTCCCACTTCCGTGTGCTCAGCAACTGGAGCGCTCGGGGACCATCCAAGCGGGTCTCTGGGTGACACAGCAGTCTCCACGGCCTTGGCGAGGGAGAGATGGCTGGCAAGGAGCCTCCTCATCCCCGGGAACTGATCAGAGCAGGTTTCTAAGGCCAACCTGGATGCCTGGTGAGCCCCCCAGGAGCAGACGGTCCTGAGAGGCCGTCTGAGCAGCTGGCCTCCTGCCACTGGCTGGAACCGGCCCCAAAGGCCATCTGTGGGAAGCGGACAGGGCTGGAGGGCCTGGGGAAGAGAAGGCGCGTTCAGTTTTGGAGCTGTGGAGTCTGGAGGGTTAGAAACAGCCGGAACAGAATGGTTTGGAGTTAGAGGGAGACAGGACGGAAGTTGGGCTGTGGTGGCGCCATGGAATGGCCAAGGGAGAACAAGCAGAGGCCAAGGAGAGATTGAGGAAAGCCTGAAACTGGGAGGGGTGGGTGCAGGAGGAGGCAGGGCAGGGGGCAGAGCATTTCCAAGAAGCCCGGCTGGCAGGGTCAAGGGGCTGAAGATTTGGTCCTAGAAGGTCACCGTGACCTTCTGGGTGACATTTTGGGATGAGGGGTGGGGGTGGAAGCCCTCCTGGCAGGAGTTAAGACGTGAGTGGGAGGTGAGCAGAAGGAGGAGCTGTGGAAGTGGAGGTGAACTGAAGGAGAGCGAAGGCGCTGCTGGGACAGCGAAAAAGGCCATGTTTTAGGGTAGGGGCGCTGAGAAGCAGCTGAGAGAGATGCGGGCGGGCTGGAAGTGACAAGAGTGGAGAAGGGGCCTCAGCAGCCAACGTGGTGGGAGCGAGCTTTGGAGAGGGTGGTGAGAAAGTGCCAGGCATCAGAGGAACCCAGGAGGGCAGCAGCTCCCTGCACAGCCTCCTCCTGAGAGGGGTGAGGCTACCAGCCAGGCGGGGGCTTGAAAAATGTAACAAAAATTTGGCCACGTGGAGGCCATAATGGGTGAATGGGACTCCCCCAGGCAGCCCACTACGCTTTCTCCACAATGCCTGGCTGCTGGGGAACAGGCCTGCCTCAAGGTGTTGGCTCTGTTACACTCACATCTACACACACACATTAGCCCCCACATTCTTCTTGCAAACACATGCCTCCTTGCACACATGCCCCCTGACACACACACATGCAGAGTCGGACATGGATCTCTGATACCTTGTGTCAGCTCACAGACATAGCCTGATAGACGCAAGCCTGCCCTCATGTGTCCCCGACACACGCACACTCAAGCAGACATATTCCTCTGGCACGTATGTACGCACACACACCCCTCCACACGGGGAGCCTCCGGTACCGATCTCGGGCAGCTCAGACGCGCTGCTCTCGATCTCCCGCTGGCCGATGTAGAACCACACGCAGGCCACCCAGTGGGCGAGCAGGGCGAACACGGCCATGAGCAGCGTCAGCACCACGGCGCTGTACTGCGAGTAGCGGTCCAGCCGCGGGAGCAGGCGCAGCAGCCGCAGCAGCCGCACCGTCTTCAGCAGGTGGGCCCCAAAGTACTGGGGGGTGGGGACAGAGGGTGGTCACCCCCAGGTCGGCCCGCCTGTCCCGCCCCAAAGCCCACCCAGCCCAGCCACACTGACCACGTTGACCTTGAAGGCATGGAGCAGGTCGAAGGGCAGCGCCGCGATGACATCCAGCAGGAACCAGGTGGTAACGTAGTGGAGGCAAATGGACTTTGGGGCAAACACCACCTGGCCTGACTTGGACACGAACGTGGTGCGGAAATTCAGCACAATGTCTGCGGGCAGTGGGGGCGGGAGTGAGCATGGGGTGCGGGAGGAGCCACTCTTTACTGGGCACCTGCTCAGTATTTGATGCTGTCCCAGGCTCTTTCCATGTATCACCTCGTTCTCACAGTAACCAACATTGTTATGCCTACTTGACGGAAGGAGAAACTGAGGCTTGGAGAGGCCACGACTGGCTCATATGACCCGTTCCTTGCAGAGACTTGTTTGGAACCTGCAGGGTTCCGAGGTCTGATTTTGAAGCCCACAGGTCACCAACGGCGGGCGGGCAAGGGAGACACTTGTGGGGCACTGGAGCCATGCAGACGTCCCCATCAAAGCCCAGGGGGCGCCCGGCATAGGGTTGGGAGGGAGGCACAGAGCGCACATACCGAGAATGAAGAGGACCTCCACGGCCAGGTCACAGACGCTGGGGGGACCGCGGGCGGCGCTGGGCTCCCGGGCTGTGCTCACGCACACGCTGTAGGGCACGGTGACGGCCACGTAGAGAGTGGCGAGCAGGATGAAGCCGTCCCAAGTGGCCCTCAGCGCCCCACAGTGCAGCAGGATGAAGGGTGACTTCCGGATGGCGGCTACTTTATACTCGGGCAAGTTTGGCTTCTCCCCAAACACCCCCTGAGTGAGGCAGGGCGGTCGAGGCAGGGAGCACAGGACATTGGCACAGGCTGAGTTTGGATGGTGTCCGGGACAGGCATCCACCTCCCTTCCCTCCCTGCACTCTCAGAGCAACCTCTGTCATAGTCGTTAGAGTCCCCGTGTTATAGATCAGAAAACTGAAGATCAGCTAGGTCAAGTGACTTAGCTGAGGTCACACAGCTGCTTAGGGGAGGAGCCCGGATCGAGCCCATCTGACCCTAAGGCCAAGACTCTCCTCTATACATTTGATGGATCAGGCATTCCCTCCCTCAGCAACAGCCCCAATGCCGGTGGGGCCTGGGCAGCCCCCTGGACATTCTCTGTGGAGGGCTCAGTTCCCCTCCTCTATCTCCTCAGCCTGCCCTACCCTGCCCCACCCCCAAACACACACCCTAGTGCGCACTCCACCTTATTGAGCTTGTGCTTGCCCTTGGGCTGCTTCTGCAGGTGCCCAGACAGGTGGTAGAGCACAGCCCGGCTCCGCCGCCGGTTGGCATTGAAGCCTTTGGCTCCTGCCCGGCCATATCGGCGCCGGCCACCGCCTGCAAAAGAAGAGGGGTTCGTGAGGATGATGGGAGGAGCGCCCACACACACAGCACAGGGTCTTGGGTGTAGGACAGCAGTTGCTGCTCTGTGGACTGGTCTGGCTCATTGACTGCTGGGGGCTCTGACACTCCTCACTTCCTAGGGTCACTCGCCGACCCCAGCAATGGGCAGACCTGTGGGTGCTTACAGACACCACTCCCAGCCAGCTTCCAGGAGAAGGAGGTCTGCCCCAAGGCAAGGCAGGAGAGGCCTCCACAGGGAAAGGCCTGGGTGAGGAGCCGGGAGGGGGTTCCCGGGGTGGGGGGTGCTGAGCAAGCAGGAGACCATCAGCAGAGTTGAGGGAGCTCAGAGAAAGAACCCAGGGGTCCAGGTACAGGGGCCACTGGAGCCTTACATCATGGAGGGCTGACCCAGGCCTGGGGGTGGAGGAATGGAGAGAACCCCCAGCATCCTCAAGTGGCAAAGAGCTTTGGAGCAGCTTCTGATGACAGCTGTCTGAGCTGTCCAAAGGCCTGTCCCAGCCCTTGGAGGATACAAGAAGGGACAGACCTCACGGGCTTAGGTGAGGGCTTCGGCCAGGCTGCCCCAGGCAGGTTTGTGTGAGGAAAAGGCTCCAGGTGGGCTGGGCTCAGCCTCACTAATTGTCAGGAGATGGTACCTCACAGGCAGGAGTGGATTTGTCTACTTTCAGACTCTTAGTAAAGCTGACTTCAAAATGCCAACTTTGTCTCAACTGGTCTATTTGGAAACACTCTTTCCATACCTGGGCAGCACAGGCCTCTCAGCCAGCAGAGTGGCAATGAGTCCAGGAGGGGTGGGGGGACCCACGAGCCCACACTGGGTGCCAAGGCCCCACCCGCCCAGGCCTGAGGTACCCAACACCCCAGCCACAGCAGCGAAATCAACAGCCCCACCGGCACCCACCTCTCTCCTTCCAGTTGTCGGGGCCCCCTCGGTTCTTGGTGTCACTGATGTCCTTGTGAGAGACCAGGAAGAGGGCCACCTCCCCTTTCTCGTTCTTTATGGGTATCACATCCAGAAGACACCAGAATGGGAGCCCTGGGCACAAAGACAGACTCAGCCCGGCTCTCATTCTCCGCCCTGCCCAAGGCAACAGGGACTCCAGTGACACCCCTGGCCAAGACACAAGCAGGCTTGGGGCTTTCCTCGGAGCGGAGTGGCATCCTGGCTCCGCTCAGGACAGGGCTTGATGGAACAGGGCAGGAGAAGGCAAGGGAGAGCAAGGTGACCATCAGACATGTGTGTCCATTGATCTGTCCTGCTGACATGGGGACATTTTTCTGCTGGGGTGGGAAACCCAAGATGGGAGACTGAGCAGAGGCTGAGGCTGTGGTGAGGATGGAAGAGAGGAGGGGTCGGGGCAAGAGGTGAGGTGGAGGCAGAGGAGATGGGTATGTAGGAAGATGGGATGAGAAGGGAGACGCAGACAACGAGAACGGAAAGGAGGGACAGTGGATGGGGTGGGTGCCAGGCTTGGTGAGACCGGACAGGTGAGGCGGGCTGGCCAGGTGGCCCCTCACCGCTCTTCCGGTACAGGATCAGCTCTGCCTTGAACTCCTTGTGCTCATCCAGGGCCTTGCGGATCTGCTGGCGGACGAGCTCACTGGTGTCTGGCCCATAGAGGAAGGAGCAGGCGCAGCCCCGCTGCATGACCTCAGCCCGGGAGAAACCCGTGAGGTCACAGAAGCCATCAGAGCAGTAGACCACGGGGAAGAGCCCTGCCACCTGGGCGTTGCCCAGCACGAAGTTACTGTCTGCAAGAGAGCACCTCTCAGAGGAGCGTGGGGTAAAGGGGCATGGGGTCACCCCTCCTTTCCCAAATGCCTGCAACCAAAGGGTGGGTATTAGAAATCCCAGGAATCCTGCATGTGTGTGTGTTCGGGGGGCAGGCAGGAGCTGTTTATGACCAGGAATCAGTGCGTCACCTGTGTGTCAGTGCCCTGCAAGGGCCCACTCCTAGCAGCATGATATGAATGCATTGGAGAATCAGCATGGGTGAGCCTGAGGTTGGTAACTGCGGCCCTGTGTGGGCATTGTGCCCTCTGGAGTGTGTCCTGAGCAGCCTGGGGTAAGGGGCGGGGTTGAGGAGGCCCAAAGGAGGACTGCAGGCCTAGCTCTAGGCCAGCCTCAGCCCCACCTCTACCTCTGCCAGGCTCACTCACCAGCCAGGTACCCACGCTGGCTGTCTGGCTCCTGGCACTGGGCCCCACCTGGACTGGGAGGCCGTCAAAGCCACCATCCATTCTGCACTCTCTGTTTGAGCCCCAGCTGCCTGACCTGGCTCAGGAATTAGTGAATGTGATGGAGAATTGGGGTGTAAGAATGATAGCTGAACCCCAGAGCCTGGAGCCAGGAATGTATTGGGGAGTGGGGGGCGCTGAATCAGCAGGCTGCAGGAGCCAAGCACACAGCAAAGCAGATGGAGAAGCCTGGGGGGCGGGTGTTGGGGGTGGGGGGCCCATCCGGAACCGAGACTGAGACCATAGAAGACGTTAAGTAGAGAGCTGGGAAGCCCCACTGGGGGCAAGTGTGAGGGAGTAGGAGAAGGGAGGGCCTTTCATGACTTGCCCTGTGCTCAGGACCTCAGGAACCCAGGATCCAGAAGCTCTGGTGGGAGCTTCCAAACTTCCCTAGTCTGAGTGGGAGTCCCCAGACCTATCTTTTTGGGGCTAGAGGGCTCCGTGGGTTTAGGCTGTGAGGTGAGCTTGGACAGTGCGCTCCTGAGTCCCGCCTACTCCATCTGGTTTGCTAATCTCTTTTCCAAATCTGATTTTTGAGCCCTCCGGGCTGTCCCTGAGTACCACTTCCCTGCCTCCCCTGGACTCCGCCAGTTCGAGGGTAGTTGGTCGGATAGCGCCAGACGCAGGGATGGGATGGATTAGACTGACTAGGTGGGGTTCACGCCCTAGCGAACAGACTGCATCCTGGGCCCAAACCCGGACACTTCTGGCCGTTTTGCCTGGCCTGGGGTAGTGTTGACTCCGAACCTTTCGGAGAGACGGCGTCTGGAAGGAGATGGTGGTCCCAGCTAAAAACGGGGAGCAGGGGTGAGGGGGAGAAGGGAGGGAAAGAGCAGGAGGGCGCCAGGCCGAGATGTAGGGTGCAGGGCCGGCGGGAACCCTGGCAAGGGACAGCTCGTCCGCGAGCCAGTGGGGCGAGGGTCGGACTCACGCGTGCCGTCGAAGCGCGTGGCGATGGTGTCCAGGAAGGTGTTCTGCGGCGCCAGGAGTCCCCGCATGGCCGGCATCTTAGGCGGCCGTGGCCGCCCGCCCCATGCCTCCGGGGCGCGGGGACTCAGCGCCGGGGGAGGGCGCCCAGCTAGGCCGCCCCCCGCCGGGCCCCGCGCCCCCTAGCGCGGCCGTCGGGGGGCAATGCCCACCCCGGGCTCGCAGGCCCCGCCAGCCGCCCGCGCGCAAGGGGGCGTCCCCGCCGTCGGGGCCCGGAGCATGGCGCGCGGCCCCTTGCGCCCTGGCCGCCCACGAATCCCGGGCTACGGGCCCTTCGCCCGCGGCGCTCTCTGCACCTTCGGCTCGCGGCGGCGGCGGCTCCCGTTTCGGCTGCGGGTCGGCTCCGGCTCGGGCTCCGCGTCCCCGCAGCTCCCTCCGTCTGTCGGGGAGAAGCTGCAGCCTCCTTCCCTCCCTCCCGCGCCCGCCGCCTGCACCGGGGTAACCATGGAGACAGGGCACACCCAGGCAGGGCCGCCTTCTTAAAGGGACAGGCCACCCGCCGAGGGATTCTCCCTCCCCTCGGGACCTCGGTGGGGGCAGGGGAGGTGGCGCCCCCCCATCCCCGCCAAGCGGGCCGCCGGGGCCGCCCCACCCGCCCCTCGGAGAACGACGTGCGAGCGCCTGGTCCCGCTCCGGTGACTCAGCCGCAGGGGCGAGGCGTCTTTCTCTGCAGCAGGAGGGTTCTCCGAGAGCCTCGCAGCCTCTCCTCCCCCGGAGAGACCTGAGAAGAGCTCAGGGCCGGGGGTGTCTGTTTTAGAAGATGCTTTCCCCTAGGAAAAATGTAATGGGAGAGGGGGCTGGGCAATTAGGCGGAGGTAGTGAAGGCCAGGTAGTTGGCGGAGGTAAAGGCCTCTAGAGGGCCTCCAACTCCACAGAGGAAGTCTAAAAGGAGACTGAGGGGTGGGGAGGTCTGAACACAGCTTCTGGGCATCCGCGCCTTTCTCAGCCTCACCTTGACCCTCTGGAAAATGGATCGAGCCATCACTAGGAGATGCCGCGGCAGGCAGGAGCCGTCAGAAAATTGGAGGGTGGGTAGCCCCGGGAGTACGGTTCAGACGTTCTCCCTGTGCCCTCGGGGTGGAGGCGGGCAGAGGGGAAGCCCCAGACCCTTTGTTTCACCCTTGGATTTCTCTCTGTTATTTGTCACCTTTTGCCGCTCCCAGGCTGCGCTAGAGGGTCAGGTCGCAAATACAGGGGACAGGAGACGTCAGACGCTGGGAAAAACTTCCCAACCTTGCGCAGGTGAGTCCCTGCGAGCCGGGAGTGACGAGGACCGAGGCTCTGCTCCCCCACACCCTTCACTCCTAGAGAATTAAGCTCTGCGCTGAAAGGGGGGCTGCCGAGGGAGGGGTGGCTGCAGGGACCCTCTCGGGTGAGGGGGTGGGGAGGAGGGGCCGGGCGGGGCGGGGCGGAGCCCAGCCCGGGGCGGCCGTCGCTTGCTCGTCTCCCGCGCCGCTTCGGTCCCCAGCCTCGCGCTGCCAGCGCCGCTCCTCCTCCCTCCCACGGTTTGCCAGCGAGCGCGGCTACCGCCCGCGCCCAGGGGAGCCGCCGGGGCCAAAACAGCAATTTGTTCCTGAACGAGAGAAGCGGGTAGCTCAGCACCCCCACCCTTCTAGGAGACACATCCACAGTCACCAGCATCGGAAAGAAAGAATGTCCCCCGCTCCACCCACCCCTCATCAGCGACGAGGGCCAAAGCTCCAGGCACCTGTATTAAAATGAGCCGGTGCTTTGGAGGAAAGAGAGGAAGAGACCCGCTCCCCTAGTCCTCTGAACCCTGGAATCCCGCTCCCAGGAAGAATGACCCGAAGGAGTCTGCAGAGCATGCTCCCCCCCACCCCACACACACACACCCCAACCTGGGTCTTGGGCTGCAAAGTCCCCTCCCCTGGCCACTCATCTATGCCCCTCCTGGCGAAGTTCAAGCATTCCACTAAGGAGAGTACAGTTTAGGGGTCAGCTCACTTTGAGACAGGAGAAGCTGTGATGAAAGCACCCACCAGCCTGGGAACCAGGCTCCCTAGGTTTGAATATAGCCATGGCACCTGCTGTCTGATTTTCCTTCTGACTCAATTTTTCTCATTTGTGAAATGGGGGTGATAATAGCTACGTCAGAGGGTTGTTAGGAGGACTAGATGAGTAAAGGATCTAGAACAGTGTGTGACATTTGCATCATGTAAATGTTTATTGTCTGATTTTGAATTTTATAGGAGCCCTGTGAAATAGGCAGGGCAGATGCTAGAGAGAGAGAGACTCGCTCAAGGTAACCAAGTTGGTAAATGGCAGAGTTAGGGTTCCAATCCTGAAAATCCTAACCCCAGGTCCAGGGTCAGCCTCACTCCAGCATAGCTGTCTCCCACTTGAGGACCCGGACAGAACCCCAGGCTAGCTGGGTGGGCGCTCACAAAGATGGATCCTCAGGTGAGGAGATCCGGGTGGTCCTCCAGTCACCCCTGTAAGCCCCAGGTGTTCAGACTTTGAGGCTTCCAGGTCATCTGCCTAGGCTGGTTTTGGACACTAAATTAAACCAGACGCCTTGGGTCAGGGTGAGCAGGGGGTAGACAGAATGTACGGGGTGCTCCAAAGAATGACAAGAGCTCACTTTTATTGAGCGTCACCTTTGTGCCAGGCACGTGCTAAGTGCTTGACTTGGATTATCCCATTAAAATTCATCATAACCCTATGGCGTGGTTACTGTCGTAACTGCTGATTTGCAGATGAAAACATGGAAGCAGGGAGCTTAAACATCTTGTCTAAAATGCACTGCCTCCTCCAGCAGTTCGAGGCACAATGTGCCTGTCACTGTTTTGGTGCCCTGGTCCTCACTTCCAGGAAAAGAAAATATGCTAACATTTCTTGAATGTTGTGATGGCTCTTCTTATCCTAGGATGAAACTGCCGTCTGCGTTGGCCTTTACACCTCTTCCCCCCTTGCCCTCCAAAGAATTTGTGTGAAGGTGTGTATGTGGGGGTGCAGACAGTTAGTCAGGCCTGATTAAAGGCATCCTTTCTGTCCAGATAAGTTTCAGGCGTAGGATCTCAGCCCACTGTCTCTCTTCCTCTTCACCTCGTCCCTCAGCTCTTCCTGCTAGCCCTGACCTAGAGGTTCCCTCAGCTCTCAGGGATGAATTCCTTGCCTCCTCCCCGCCCCCCCATCCCAATACATACACAAGGGGCTGGGGCCCACGGAGACAGTAAGATGGGGCTGGGGAGGGGTTGGAAAGTGAGCAGGGCACTCGCACTCGGAGGTCAGGGAGCACCTGTCCTCCTACTGTAATCTCTTTTTCCTCTCTGCTTCCCCCAACTCTTTTTTTTTTTTTTAAGATTTTATTTTTCCTTTTTCTTCCAAAGCCCTGCAGTACATAGTTGTGTGTTTTTGGTTGTGGGCCCTTCCAGTTGTGGAATGTGGGATGCTGCCTCATCGTGGCTTGATGAACGGTGCCATGTCTGCACCCAGTATTTGAACTGGTGAAACCCTGGGCCGCCGAAGCAGAGCACCCGATAACCACTCGGCCACAGGGCCGGCCCCTTCCCCCAACTCCTGACTCACTAGGGCCTCAGTGCTGGGGAGTCATGGGGAGGGGAAGGTTGAGGGTGAGTCCTGTTCAGAGACAGCTCAAAGCCATTGTCAACAAGAAGAAATTCAGGAGGCTGCGTTTTGGAGCTGCCGTGGGAGGCCTGTGGGAGTATTATCTACAAAAGGAACAGGGAGAGAGAAGGGAAGAGCAAGGCAAGGAAAAAAAGGCTCAAGACACAAAAGATGGAAAAATCTCCCCCTCCCCCCCGAAAGCGCAGGCGGAGTCAGTCGCTGCGTGCAGGGGGGTGGGAACAGGTGGCTGTCGAGGAACAGAGCCCAGGGGCCCCTCCCCTCTCCCATGCTGCTGGGGCGCTTTATCCTGTCTTTTGGTAAACAGCCTGTTAAAAGGCGACAGTAGGGCCATTTTGGTGAGAGGTCAGATGGTGACCCGTGGTGAGTGCTCTCTGTGAACAGCAATCTGGCCTTCACGCGGTGAGGAGGCTGCACTTGACTGTAGGCCCCCCTGCTGGAGGGCAGGCAACCCTGGAGTCAGCAAGGGAGTGTCTCTCCACCCTCCTTTCTGGAAGTCCCCACATCTCTCTCCAGCCTGGCTCTCTCAGCCAGCGTGGCCAGGCTCTGCTTCTCAGGGTGTTGTGTGGTGCGAAAATCTCAGGCTTTCAAGTCAGACTAGTCTGGTTTGAATTCCAGCTCTGCCATTGACCAGCTGGGTGACCTCTGGCACAGATGGGGGTGGTGTGGGTGTTAATCTGGCAGGGCATCACTTCCTTCATTTGTGAACTGACCCTTTCCCTAAGGATTGTTGAGAGTTTGAGATGAGCTTAGTAAGTGGTTGCGTTCGTTATTAAAAGTCCCCCTGAGGGGCCAGCCCAGTGGCGTAGTGGCTCAGTTCACGCTTTGCTTGGGTGGCCTGGGGTTTGCAGGTTCGGATCCTGGGCGTGGACCTACACACTGCTCATCAAGCCATGCTATGGTGGTGTCCCACATACAAAACAGAGGAAGACTGGCACAGATGTCAGCTCAGGGACAATCTTCCTCAAGCAAAAAGAGGAAGATTGGCAACAGATGCTAACAGATGCTCAGGGACAATCTTCCTCACCAAAAAAAAAAAAAAGCCCACTGAGTGCTGGAACCTAGGAAATGAGCTCAAGATGAAGCCTCACCGAAGGTTCCCCATTCCCACCAAAACAAACAGAATATTCTGGAATGCTCTGAGGCCTCCAGTAAGCGGCCCCCCCATTCCCGTTCTTTTAGTGGAGGATCCTAGCTAGAATATGAGTAAATCACAATAAACTTTCAAACAAGGGAATCCTGGGAGGTGCACGGTTTTATTTACAGATAAAGAAAGTTGTACATCGCATGGCTAGTAAGTGGAGGAACTGGGTTTGAACCAAGATTTGACTTGGTTGACAGAGGTTTGATCCTGTGCCATGCTGTCGGGGTGCTGTCCTGTCCTCTGGGAGACAGCCTATTAAAAGAGGGACAGTATGGTCATTTTGGTGAGTGGTCAGATGGTGATCTGTAGCGAGTGCCCACCGTGAACCGCAAAGTGGACCTCATACCGTGGGGAGACTGCAGGTGACTGTAGCCCTGCCTGCCCGAGGGCATTCTACCCCAAACCTGCCTGGAGCCGGCAAGGAAGTGAGTCTGAAAGGAAAGAGAGGCTCAGTCTGTGTGTTCTGGCAGCACCAGAAAACGGGTTTGTTTGACATCAAGTTACAGGGAAAGCCTAACTGGGTTAAGTTGAAGAGAGTCATAAAAAGGAGACCTGACTTTTCCCTGAGGAATCAGAGTGGGTGGTATTTGTTCCTGCTGTTTTGACGGCAGTGAAGGGGCGGGCAGGCGGGCTGGAGAACAGTCGTGCTGGTGGTGGTGATGGTGGGTGAGTTTCCTTACCCAGAAAAATCTTCAGATAGTGTTTCCTCCTTGGGAAGGAGTAGCAGAGTAGGTAATAAACTCCCACAGCACCTGTACGGAAATAATGGTCCCTGGCTCTCCCCGGGAAAGTCCCAGCTGCAGCTTCCCTCCTGCATGCGGCTGTGCTGGCGACTGTGCACGCAGGTCAGCGCCAGCAGCCTGGGGCCTGCCCCACCAGTGAGCTCAGAAACTGGGGATTGGGGGGCGCTCCTAACAGGCATGGCAGACAGACAAGAGGGGCGCAGAGCTCACATGCTGGGGGGATATGCACTCAGAGAAAAGCTACAGAAGGAAAATCAGAGGACTGAACTACCATTAGTTTTTTGGTTAAGGTCTGTATGGCTGGGGACAGCGCAAGCCTTTCACACACTTCTTAACAGGGCAAGAGAGATGGAGAGCGCAGGAGCTGTGGTGAGTGAATGCTCAACTCGTCCTGTGTTAGCTTAGACGCCACGGCATTGTTCTGCAGCGCCTGCCTAGATGCCTCCTCTCACCCCTCCATGTCGTTGCCACTGTCTCCAGTTTATACTTCAGGAAGAGGCTCGAAGATGTTAAGTCATTTGCCCAAAGTTAGTAGGTCACATAGCTACCAAGTTGTGAAGCTAGAGCTAAAACCCAAGTATATGTCTTGAAAGGCCAGTGTCTTTCCCCTCTACCACACTGCCCAGCCACCAGGCTCAGCTTCCGAGAGTTTAAGGAAGAGTTAAGAGCTCTATTTCCTTCACCTGCAGAGTGGCTGAAGAAAGAGCTGGAACCATTTATCTTTGCCCCAGAACTCAGCATAGGGCCTAGCACACAGCAGGTGCCTTGATGTTTGACGGAAAGAAAGAATGTGCTCAGGTGGCTAAAGCAACCAGCCGTCCAGCTGGACTGATTTCACAGGACATTGTTCAGGCCACCAGCATTAGAGTCTGGTTCTCTGAACTGGCGAAAACAGTGACAAAATAGCTCCTTCTATCAGCTGGTGACGTCCAAACACATACTGTTTTGGACACCTGTTTCTTCCAAGAAGTGTGCTGCCATATGGATGTAATCCTCACCAGGTGGGACAAGAAGGGGGCATGAACCCTATCAATCAGGCAAGAGAAACCTTTGTCAGGTCAAACGGCAGCATTTCCAGGGGCGACAAGACATTACTCCACTGACCTTCTCCAAAAGCACAGCTTAGTTCACAGATTGATAACCGTGCATCCCGGCTTTTCCAGGTCACTCCCAACCTAAAGTAGTTTATCCTGTTCTCCCCCATACAGACATTCATACTCACAAGACTGTACCCTGGTTTGGGATTCTGAAACATGAGGCCACTCTATCTATAAACCACTGAATGAATGCCTGATCCCTTCTTGGCATGGTTCTAGTTTAAACAAAGGACCAGCCCTTGGAGCAGCGCTGCCTCCACTTGCTCACAGAAGACAGTGTGGCTCTTTCACGCAGCACTACTATCTTGGATTATTTTGTCTGTATGTCTCAGTTGCCCAGACTAGTTTATCAGCCCCTTGAAGGGCTGTGTTTTAGTTACCTTTCTCTCTCTCTCCTTAGTTTCCAGCTCAGCAACTGTACAAAGCACTGTCAAACACTGTTGGTGAGAGTCTAAACACATGTGTCTTTAAGAGTCTGTTGTCAATAACTACATGATCCACTCCTAGGAGCAATTCCACTCCTAGGAATTTATCCTAAGATGTACTCTCACAAGTGAGGAACGAAATAGGTATTATGAAATGCTCATTTCAGCACTACTTGTAATAGCAAAAAACCATCATTAGGGACTGGTTAAACTAATTATGATAAATTTATACAATGGGATACTATGCATAGAAAGAACAAGGTATATGTACGTACACTGACATGGAAAGAGGTCTAAGTGGTACCCATCCTTATGATAGATGTGTGCTCGTATAGAAAATCTCCGGAGGGATGCACAAGAAACTTAACAGTGGTTGCCCCTGGGGAGGGGACAAATAGATCAGAGAGGGATACAGGCTTATTTTTCAACATATATGCTTTTGAACTGTTTTTATATATATATATATATATATATGTATTTACCATTTATATATATTGATTCTTCTTAAAACAAAACAAAAACTAGAGCCAGCCCTGATGGCCTAGTGGTTAAAGTTCGGTGAGCTCCACGTCAGTGGCCTTGGTTTGGTTCCCAGGTGTGGAACCACACCACTCGTCTGTCAGTAGCCATGCTGTGGTGGCAGCTCACACAGAAGAACCAGAAGAACTTAGAACTATACACAACTGTGTACTGGGACTTTGGGGGTAGGGGGGAAGGAAGAAAAAAAACAAAACAAAAAACCAAACCAAAATGAAAACTAGTTATCGAAAGAGAGGACAACTGAAAAAAGCAAGTTGTAGAGGAATGCACAGAGGATGATTCCCATCTATGTAAAAGAAAGAAAAATATAATTGCACGTTTGGATTTAGAAAACTTGTGGAAAGACATACAAGAAACTCAGAGATTTCTCCTGGGGAGTGGGACAAGGTAGGGGAGGATTTTTTACTTTCCAGCATGTATCTTTTGTACCTTTTTAAAAAAACTAGCCTGTATTACTTTTTTAAAAAGTGAATTTAAGGCCGGCCCTGTGGCTGAGTGGTTAATTTGCACGCTCTTCTTCGGTGGCCCAGGGTTTCGCTGGTTTGAATCCTGGGCACGGACATGGCACCGCTCGTCGGGCCATGCTGGGGCAGCATCCCACATGCCACAACTAGAAGGACTCACAACTAAAAATATACAACTAGGGGCCGGCCAGGTGGCGCAGCCGTTAAGTTCGCACATTCTGCTTTGGCGGTCCAGGGTTCGCCGGTTTGGATCCTGGGTGCGGACATGGCACCACTTGGCAAGCCATGCTGTGGTAGGTGCCC